TTGGAAGCAATATTTGAAAATAATTAAATCACACTATTATTACATACGTATTATTCTGAAATCTCTTCTAATTTCTCTCTAAAAAATGTAAAAGTTATTTTTAAGCACTGATTAAAACCCAAATATCTACTTCTTACTTGTCATTGAGTCGACACACGTCACAAACAATCATAAAATATTTCAATCTTTGCATTGAACCAGAGATTGTTTGAAGAACCTAATTTTCTAACTTTATGCTGTGGAATGACGAAAAGCTTGCTTATAATTTCAGTATTTCTTTATCGTTCACATCAATCAGGCAATCAGTTTTTCCTTTCCATCAAGTCTATACATATACGTAAATTTTAGCGCATAATCTTGTCACGCACCTTACATAACTCTACGACTAGTAAAAGCGAAAGTGCACATGTTCAAGAATATTTGTACTTTTACTGGGGTCAAAGTTCAACAGAAAAGCTACTACTTATACCTTACTCACATTATATCAATGTATATACATACATTCGGCTTAGTTTATAATAAAAAAAATAATGAAAATGATGGCTTTCCATTATTATTAAGTTAAAACTTATGCTATATATAAAATTACCTAATTGTGAAAAATGATAAACTACATTCTTTATATTGTCAAATTTAATTTTAATAATCTTAGCTGGATATTGAATTTTTTTTGCAATGACATTTAATATTTCTCTATCTATATATATATATATATATATATATATAGGAATGACATAACAAAGCAACAAAAGATAACAATTTCTACAATATCTTTATTAAATTAAATACTTCTATTTTTATAAATTAAAGTACTTTAAGAGTGCAATATATATTGATACTTTAAATCATCGTATAATCAAACAAATCGTGAAATAAAATTAATATAATTATTTCAGACTTTATTTGTCCTTTTTTTTAAACATATAAATTATGATATGAAATAAAGTTTCTTTGTTGTATGGAAATATGTTGATTTTTAAGCATAAAATTAAATGCTTCATATAAGCCAGTGGAATTTGATAAAATGAAAAACTTTATTAAAAAATACCTTTCTCTTTTTCTGAAAATTCATCCTAACTACTAATTTATGATGAAATTTGACAATTCTTAAATATTTTGTATAATAAACAACTATACCATATGTGTTTTTATGAAGATTATTAGTGCTTTTTAAAATTTGATATGTAGTCGAATAAATGAATAAATATGCTTATTATTATTATTATGTATTATTTCATTAGTGAAAAGCAACGTAAACACATATTATGTAAAAAATAATGGCTAAAACATATTTGTTCTAGCTATATAAATATATTTATTATTGTATCAATGATTTGAATGTCGACATTCCATAAATACTTTCACAAATTCGGTTCACAATGTCTTTGTTGAAAATCAATTTAAATAAAATTTATTTATTAAGATTACTCTTTTTTAAAGTGAATAAAATGGGTAATACCATAGACTGAAAAATTAATTATAAAGTTCAGTTTCAGCTATAATTAGTTGAAAATATATAGATATATGCGTATGTAAACATGGGAGGCTTTATATATGTATATATATTGGTCAGACTTACTAATCTATAATTGTAAATGACTTGGCATTCCTACGAATTGTACATACTTTCACGAGTGGCTTTATATATAATTGCATGCAGATGTCTATCAGTATTGAATAAGTAATTAATAGACAGCAGTCTGCTACCACTGATGTACGCATTACTCATTTGTCTTTAATATTAAAAAAAAAAAAAAAAAAACCGTCGTTCCCATGTAAGCACGTTTGTATTTTATACGTATAAGAAACGCCAACGTTCGTTCCCATTAAAAAGCCAATAAAGACAAGCTAGTGTCGTGCTTATGTGGCTAAATAAAAGAAGAGAAAAAAGAAGGCGCGAAAACGAAGCAATTCAGTCTTGACTTGCACACAGAAACAGCCGGGCATCCATACGGAAAATGTGTATCTTTGAGATGGGGTGGGGATGGAGGGAGAAGGTTTGCGTGTTTTTAATTCGGTGGAGTACTCGTTTGGCGCGTGCGTGCGTGCTTGCATACGTACGTATGAGCGAGTGTAGATGTTGGGAGTGGGTCGGAGAGTGCGAGGAGAGACGCAGATTTTTTGCGATTCTTCGCTGGCGAATCTGGCGCAAGTCCTGGCGCGCGTTTAAAGCGCAATGCAAAGGTGCACGGCCCGGTCCATTCACAATCGACGCGGTTAAATTATGAATGGCGGTCGATAAGTGGGACGAAGATAGTCGCTATACTCGTGAGCCGTCCTCGTTCCCGCTTTTCCATGGGCGCTACTCAAAGGAAATCACCTGGCTATGAACACGGCACCGTGGCTTTTGTGCTTTTGCTAACGAGAAAGCTGTGCTTTTCATCCCGGTGATGCGTTCCTCGAGGATATCATTTAAAAGTGGGTTCTTTGGATGAAAGAAGGTTATTGGATTGTGCTTAAAGGCATTCAATGGTGAGGGGGGGGGGAGATGATGACGGGAGGGATAGGAGATCTTAAGCCATTGCGCGTGTAATGAGAGTTTTGACTTTAACTTGGAATTTTATAACAGCGAAATACCACTTTCATCTGTACTGTTTAATAACGCAACGAGACAAATTACTTTACCGTAAAAAAAAATCCAATCATTATACATTAGATGGTATTATTGGAGCATCGTTTATATATAATAGATATTAAACTTTTAACGAGAAATCTTTAAAGAAATTACTCACCAGCTGACTATTTGATTTTGTCACTATAAATCGTGAAATTCTAGTTTTTCAAATTCGTTGGATTGAACTTAATATATTATGTTAAATTAATGGTAGAGTTGTAAAGATTTATTTGCCAAGAGGTATTTTATATTATACTAATTGACTGATATCTATTATAGACGCGTATATAAGTTTTATTAATGATTCTCTCATTCTAATCTGCTAAATATTCTAATAAAAAAAAATTGTCAAATACACTAACATCGGGGATTTTATTACTTTAATTACAATTAAATATAAATAAAAAAAAAAAAAAGTTTTTGTTACAAAAACGAAAACAAATTACAAAAAAAAAAAAAAATATTTTACGAAATAGTTGACTAACGGGTAAAGTATTGGGAAATTCTTTTATATATGTATATATATATATATATATATATATATAGATTTATCTAGGCACCTAACGGGTATAATACATATGTGTCATATATATTAATATTAATTGGCCTTATATAATGGATTAATTTAATATTCTTATGCTTATGTAATTACGATATCTAGGATTTACTGAATCCGTTACACATTGAAATTTCATAATCAGAAATCGATTACTTACGTATGATATTCATATGTAGGTGAATGGGTGCGCGCGCATTGTTTTAACAAGTCCATAGAATAAAATTAATTCAACAATGGACTTTATAAAGTGTTACATCAGTCATATGTTAGTGTAAGGTATTGTAACAAGATGAAAGTACAAAGAGGCAGTGGACTCTGATAAGTGAGGAAAATAAGCGCGTTAAGAATCGTAATATGGACAAAAGCATTTCCTATATTCACTAAGAAAGAAAGAGAAATGTGCACAGTACTTCTTTGTATTCGGAACTCACTCATCCATTATGAATTCTTTATGTGGCCTCTCTATCCGTCAAGTTTTATCTATCCAGCTCTATCTCTCTAACTCTTTCTCTCTCTCTCTCTCTCTCTCTCTCTCTCTCTGTATATGTATATATATATATGCCACTATCTTTTTTTTCTATACTACTCAATTTTTTACGTTCCATCCCTTTTACTTTACCTCACTTTTTACTGTATTTTGAAAGTCTATCTCTTTTTAATATACTATTAGACACGTGTTTGTGATAGCAAGACTAAAATTTTTCAATTTCACTTGGAAATAGAGGATAATTTCTTGCAAGGACTTGATTTTTTAACTTGATTATTTATGGATTCGAAATTGCACGGAATTTTTTTTCACTCCACAATATTACCTACATTTACTTGTTAATAATTTTACATTTTTATTTTTATTCAAATATTGCACCAATTAGAGTATAATTGATGATTAAAAATATTATATTTAAGACAAGTCAGAGATATCACCTACATGTAAATAAATTTTGCGAATACACAGTTTTATTATTATTATTATATTTGTGCATTATAGTTGGTTAACTGCTTAGATAACATATCGCATATAAATAAGGTTACACAAATTACCAGAATATTACTTGCGATTGATAAACGAGAGTATTAATAATAACGTGTATTATGCAGAGTTGAACTAAATTATACAAAGCCGTATTTTATAAAGCATTTATTTTTATTGAAGAACTTTATCCATCACTCATAGATAAATCGGCTTGGGCCCCATTACCATTACAGTCAATAATAACGTTAAGTTGATAATCTCAAAAGCATGTATTATCCGCATGTTATACGTTAAGTAAACCCAATTCCAATAAAGCTAGTATGTAAAATGCATTTTTATTATTATTCAAATAGCCCGAAGGAAAAACATTAACGTAAAGTAATGCTCATTCGAGATAAGAGAATCATTTTATTTTTCATTTAATGCTTGGGCGCTATAATCGAGGGCAACACCTCATTTAAAATGACTAAATCCCAGCTCATCCAACGCAAATATCCTAAGGCAAACCGAATTCCAGAATTCCAAAATCTTATCCGAGTACGGCGTCGCCCTCGCTGTCTTCGCCCCCTTCATGTTCATAAGCTCAGGCCGCGATAAAAAGCTCTCGATGAGCTAAATCAGATGTAATCCGATTACGATCGCGTCTACTTTACCGTCGGAAGTCTCCTCACGAGCGCACCCAGGCCCTCATCCCCTTGATTCTCTTTCACCAGGAGGCATTGCCGTCGTGGCGCCGCAGCCGGAGCGTCGGCCCCGCCCCCGCGGGCCCGATAGTGTCGAGGAGGAGGAGGAGGAGGAGGCGGAGGAGCGCGAGCGAGAATCAGCCAGAGGCGAGCGGGGTGCCGAGGCTCGGCCAAGGAGGATCCGTGGGTCCAGGAGGGGCTTTCCCGGGACCGCCACAGGCACTAAGCGGCCCATCTCGTATAGGGGCGCGCCCGGGGGGATGCAGCGCGGGGGGGCGGCGGCATGGAGGAGCCCTCGCTGGAGGCCCTCATGCAGGCGGGCTTCATCTTCGTCGTCGGCGTCGCCATCATACTCTCCAATCTTCTCATCATCGCCACCTACCTCAACTTCCGCGGTAAGTTCGGCTTTCTGCAAATTACCCGGGCTGTTGAGGAGGTCGAAGCTCTGGCCCGTGAGTTTCGCCGTTCAAAGCGCTAAGTAACTACTCGAGCTACGCAATTTTCACTTTAATAGGCCTCTCGCGGCGCTTAGGTCACCGTACAAAGTTATCTACGTCCTTTTTCGCGCGCGATAAATATTTCCTATTTCATTGGTTAATAATGGAAATTTAATTACGCATTAAGTACGTAAGTAGTAGAAGTTTTGGATTATATCAACTTATATTATATCAAATGTAAAAATGATGAAGAAAGGCGGAGAATAAGCCGGGCGTGGCTTAGCAATCCTAATGATTAATGAAAAATTATTAACGTAATTCTCCGAATTTTCAGAATTGTGATTTTAATAAGAAAAATAAATAAATAAATCAAATAAATCGTATTTACTTGTCATATAAGCCTACCAATAGGCTTAAATAGAATTTACAAATTACCTCGTATGTAGGCGCACTTAGGCAATAACATATCGTTGTATGCAAAACTTTAAGATTATCGTGGAATACGAGGACAATGAAAGGAATTACATTTGACTTGTAACCACGCTTGCGCACTCGCAAATACACGTACTCAATTATAAAAGATGTATAGTGAAATATAATTGACCATGACTTACATAAACGGCCAATGCCGATGGTCTAACAATAGACAAAATTCCAGGAGACATAAAAACATGTAAATAATAATAGTGTTTAAATTGTATACGTATACGTAATATCGATTGCCCAGGTCCCAGTGAGGTGATAAACTACTACTTGCTATCGTTAGCATCAGCGGACCTTCTGTGTGGCTTACTGGTAGTGCCACTTTCGGTTTACCCGGCACTGGTGCGAAGATGGGTGTACGGCGACATCGTCTGCCGATTGGTTGGCTACCTGGAGGTCACGCTCTGGGCCGTCTCCGTATACACCTTCATGTGGATTTCCGTCGATCGATATCTCGCCATCAGGTTCGACACTTCCCTACTACTCCGCGCGATCTATAAAATAATGAACAGCTGCGCTCTTTAAATCGCTATGCAATGAAAATAAATAAATGTCCCGTCGTGTGTAAAGCGTCAAGTTACATTAAATACGTCGTCGAGTCGTAAACGATGCGTCGTGTGGTAAAGGATGATTTTGAAGGGTAAGAAAGCAAGATTGGCTCATTCGGACATTCTTATTACTTCAATTAAATGGATTAAATGTTAAATAATGCGGAACTGAACGGAATTGAATCAGCTTTGAGATATTAGACATTGACAGTGAAAGGTATAAACGGCAGAGGTTAGAAGCCAAAGAAGGAAGGGAGCAGTGATACGGATGGTGGGGGAGGGGCTTTTTCAAGGGCTGTAAAAAACGAATTTCAAGCTCAGGGACGCGACCGGTAACTATCTACGAGGATCGAGTCAATAACATTTTTAATGATTTTATATCACACAGTGACATGTGTTTATAGACTAAGCACTAAACACGGAAACAATGACAAAACTTATTTTAACAGTCATAAAGTATTCTATTTCAACCTTAACATTGAGACCGTGAAGATTGATTACAAGATTTCGTTTATCCTCGTCTCTCATCGTTCACGGAAATAATACAATTACGACAAAGACATTCGTTAATGCCTACGTCAGCTCACAAAGAGCAATCATCTATATAACATAAACGAAGCCCTTCGAATTTCATGCAAAGTCAATTCACTAAATTACCATACTCGTTTGCATCTTACGACTACATTTGTTATTTATTTGAAATAGTATGAGAATCATACGGCAATGCCGATAGCTTTCATAACGATAAATTTGAAAATACACACTGCTTATTCAATATCATTTGCTTATTCAATATCATTTAAAGAATCGAAAAATTTATCACACGTGCAAATTATTGCGAAAAATCAAATTACATTACGTGGACTTGCTCTCTTGGCTTTCCCGTCGCTCACATCGTTACCTTTCATCTCGATATTTTAATTAAGGCATTCGTAGCTCTTAGTAGCAATCGTAAAATGCGCAAAAAATAGAGTCGACGCGTGGGGAAAGAAAAAATGGCATTCGGTGCTCTCCCTGGTATCCAACTCCCACGTTGTCGCAGTTGGTCGGGAAATTTCCGATCTAAAGGAGAACGGCCGTTTTCACGGCTCTGGATAATATATTTCAGGAAGCCACTGCGCTACGAGACGGTACAAACGAAAACGCGCTGCCAATGCTGGATGGCCTTCACGTGGATAAGCGTGGCGATGATGTGCTGCCCGCCACTCCTCGGCTTCAACAAGCCGATCTTCGACCGCGAGGCCTTCATCTGCATGCTCGACTGGGGCAATATGGCCGCCTACACCATAACCCTGTCGATACTCGTGCTCGGTCCCTCGGTCATCACCATCATCTACACGTACTTCTACATTTTCTCGATGATGAGGAAGCTAAGGTCGGGCGTGCCGATACACGACAAAGAATACGCTACTGCCCTCTCCGAGAACCTGAGCAATCCCAGCCACATAATGTCATTCGTCCTGGTGATGGCGTTCTGGATATCGTGGGCACCCTATGCCGGCCTCAGGATCTGGGCTTCTGTTAACGGACCTCCTCAGGTACATCAAATCGACGTATTATCGTCTTCAAGTTGGCTTCAAGCCCTTTCTTACATTCGACTCTCTGTAAATTTATTTTTACATATCTCTATTAATGCTGTATACGTCCCAAGGACTTTCGAAATTAATTAATCTCTAGCCTTCCGCCCACGATATGGCAACTTTCATTTATAATTTTCAAGACTTTTTTAATTCCATGGTTTATATTAAGATTTTTTATATTAAAGTTTAAATCCTGACACGCCTTATTTTAAGAATCATTTTTTCATTATTAGTTTCGAGCTCATCGCTGAACCTTGCTTTTTTCAACTTTTCTATTTGCAATTATGTAAAAGAAGAAATTTTTTAATGAAAATTCCCGTACCAGCGCTTATAAAAATAATACTATCTAACTTCATGAATAGAGTGCTACAGTTGTCGCTCCAAATTTTATCCTGTTTCAGCGGGATAAAGATTATCCTGTGATTAATTAACCTTTTAATCTCCCTTAAAAGACAGTTCTTACCGATGTGACTTCCCAATGTAAATAAAACTTGTAGAACAGAAAAAATTATATACGTCTATCTGAGCTTTACTTAACGGAAAATAACTTTCTTAATATCTTATTCAAATTCACAGTACTTTAGTCTATTGAAATTCTGTATAAATTATTATTATTACGTATTTAATGTTGATTATGGAAAATGAACATTTAATTGAAAAATAAAAAAAAAAGTTAAAAAAAAGTCACGCGACGTGAAAATGTATCCATATATTTTTGTTCGATAATTTCGCTCGCTGTTATAATCTTTCCATTAATTTATGATAAATAGAACATGAATTATTTATTAGCTCGTACGAAACTATCGAGTATTAAAAATGAAATAACGAATGAATTTTCTATTAATAATTCTGAAATTTATTTTTTATATAGTACTATATAATATATTTTATTAAGACTTTATATGATTTTATATTTGTATATATTATTGATGCAGAAAATATATCGGTGAATTTTTGATGAGTTTTCATAATAAATATCAGGCATCATGCGGACAATGATTAAAAAGGTAGTTGACTAGGACTGTTAAAATAAACAAATTGGAACAATTACGAGATAGGAATGGCAGAATTCACTAGGAGTCGGCTTCTCTGGTATGCTTGCAGGTGCCGTTTTTGCATTTTGCCGTAGTTTGGTTTGGCGTGACAAACAGCTTCTGGAAGGCGGTCGTCCTCGGCACCCTGAGTCCGCAGTTCCGTCTGGCGGCGCGCGTCCTCTGCCTGACCTTATGCTGTCGTCACCGGAGACTGCCACCCGAGCTGCTCGGCCTCGACGACGACGACTAGAGGCCGATATGAATGTCAACTCGCCATATTTCGGAGGTCATTTCGGATGACGACGACAGTAACGACGACGACGACGACGACGACGACGACGACGACGACGACGACGACGACGACGACGACGACGACGACGACGACGACGACGACGACGACGACGACGACGACGACGACGACGACGACGACGACGACGACGACGACGACGACGACGACGACGACGACGACGACGACGACGACGACGACGACGACGACGACGACGACGACGACGACGACGACGACGACGACGACGACGACGACGACGACGACGACGACGACGACGACGACGACGACGACGACGACGACGACGACGACGACGACGACGACGACGACGACGACGACGACGACGACGACGACGACGACGACGACGACGACGACGACGACGACGACGACGACGACGACGACGACGACGACGACGACGACGACGACGACGACGACGACGACGACGACGACGACGACGACGACGACGACGACGACGACGACGACGACGACGACGACGACGACGACGACGACGACGACGACGACGACGACGACGACGACGACGACGACGACGACGACGACGACGACGACGACGACGATGAACTTCACGTCGGTGCCCACTTGATCGCGACTCTACTCTTTCCTCTTCTGTACCTTCGTATTTAAGTCTCACAATGCTTACCTCTTACTTTACACTCATGCACTCCAAACTTTGAATTAAATACGTCATCCAGGAGATGATGTACACCGCCGAGTCTACCAATGCCATATAGCCGATACATCGTTTCTTTATACTTTAATTTTCTTTTCAAGTTTGCTAATCGCCGCGTATACGTAAATCGAATCGTCAAGATCTCGGGAATATTAAAGAGGATTTATAGTTGCATTGGCGCACATTCTGAAAATGAAAAGCTTTTGTAGTCGACGACGGACCGTTATTAATTTCTACTACGACACGTAAATTTAACGTCAAGAATTTTCATACCAATATTTTTAGAATTCAAGCTGCAATTCATATCAAACATTTTTCGTGATATAAAATAATCTAGAATATCGGTATTAAAATATTGTTGAATGCCATTTATAAATCTTATATATCTTACCATATATGTGTATGTATAGATACATATATATGTATGTATATATAGAATGTATAGACGTGAGATATGATTTCAGATTTAATTTAATGGATTCGGCAATATCTTGAAACTTTGAGTATTATTTCAATCAAATATGTTAAATAAATTTTAATAAAGTTCAAGTTATATAAATCATTCTTTTTTCACGTGTAATTAAGCACTGCTCGAAGAATTATTTTATTAAGATAACTTCAACATTGAGTTTTTCGAATTTCTTTAGATTGCCGTTTAAAAATACCGATATGACGTTTAAGAAAAAGTCGAGAAATTTATCAAACAATTATTCATTCTTGTTGCAATACCCAAGGTAATACTTGCAGTATGAATTTAGAATTTATACTTTTTCCATCACCTGGTACGACTAAACTTACAGCAATGTCCAAGATGGAAATTCCATTCCTTTGAATTTAAGAGTTAACATACCTATCACTCGGCAACTCCGGAACATACATTTCCCTCGTTTCAGTCCACACATCTCTGTCGACTGCAGCGAATGTATATAGATACAAATACCTAGAATTACTTTGCTGACTACGTAAAATTAAAGTCATTACCATTCTATACACACTTTGTATATACATATGCGCGTGTGTGTTTACGTGTGTACAAGCGTATATGCGCGCACGTATTCATGACGTGTGTTTTAGCGTCAGCTTATACACGTATAAACTTGAATTTGCATTTCTCGCGTGTGTGTGTATATATATATATATGTGTGTGTGTGTGTGTGTGCGTGTGCGTGTGTGTGTGCGCGCGCGCGCTCGCTTGTGCGTATCTGCGTCTTGAGCATATACACGCCTACACGCTCGTGCACATATACGTATATATTAGACACCTACTAAGCGGCAAATACAAGCGTCAGAGATAGTAGAAATGTGACAGGTCGGGGCGAAACGCAATTGAAATTATGCGCTCTGCAGCTGCCGCCATGCGATTGATGAATTCAAATCGAATTTTCGTATATTAAGCTAATAAAACTTTTTAGCGAACGTAAAATAAAGTGCAGCGATACAACATTACATTGATTTCATTCGCCGTTTAATTTTTGTCGCTGTCAAAGGTTTCATCTACGAACACATAAAGTAACACATTAATAAGTTTTTATTACCAAAAAATCTTTCTAAGCTATTTCATTTTATATTTTATAAAAGCCATTTTATATATTTTACGCTTATTTAATATTACAATCATTTTTGTATATTTGAGATATAAACGAATAATGGAAATTATTTTAAATAACTTTTCAATATGTATTATTAAATGATTTTTTGATTAGATTATTTATCGTATCATAACTTATTTATGTATTATTAGATGAAATCCTAAGAGACGAATACAGTTTATACAGTTACTGTTCATTATTCTCTTTCAATCATTCAAGCTCGTACCGCAAGTATGTACTAATCAACTTATGACAAGTAATGAAGTATTAAAATTTAAACAGAAAACTATATTTCAGGTTTTTCTGCTTCAGACAAGACTATTAATTTCTATTTGTACACTGATCGCTCGCACCTATGATGGCTCGACAAATCAATTTAATTCCTATATATCGAACGAACTGGTTTTTGTAAATAAAGCATGAAGTTTCTTTTCCTAGTAATAACAAGTAATAACATAAATATGTAAAATATAATACGTGAGTTTATAAACACGTGAGTAAATCTATAAGACTCAACTTCAAGGGTAAACCAAAGTAAGCAGAAAATAACGAGATTAAAGGAATAAAAATAAGTAAAAGTATTAAAAAAATAAATAATTTTTAAGAATCTTCTTTGTCAACTTGACTCTTTCTTTTAGGGAACTGAACTAAAGTTAAGGTAAAATCGATAACAACTTCGATAATAACCGTCTTGATACAATAAACTCTACTTAGAATGTTCAAATATACTATTTAAAAACTAAAGAGAAAAAATATACCTTGTATCATAGATAAATCACCTTAATAATAATTAAAAGAAACATCAAAACGATACAATGGGAAAAAACAATATTAAACAGTAACTGTTGCCTAGAATGTCTACGTAAAAGAATCTACACAAAATAAGTGTTGTAGTATGTTTTAAAAAGTTTACTAATTTCCACTGTATAATGACCAGGGGGACAAGGAAGAAATTTAATAATATAATGAAATAATAAAGATTAAAGAATAATTTATAATCGATTGAGATATAAATTTAATCGTAAATTGTGTAAAAATGAGTCTATTAAAATAAAAGTAAAAGCTGTTCGACACACACGTTAATTTCAATTATTTTTCAGTATAAATGACATGCGAATGAAAAGTGAGAAATAATTTCCTCATTAGGTGTCGCGAGACGACCTCGTAATTGTAGGATCTATAAAAACTAAAAAAAATGAAAAAAAAAAAAGAAAAAAAAACATACAAATGAGTCTAGTCAATTAATGAAAAATATTTATAATTATTACAGGAGAATGAATTTAAATGAATACAAAGATGCCTCTATAAATGCAACTTCGATGATAAAACATTTTTTCTTCATTTAAATAAATTACTTGCACTTTCTTCAGTCCCGTAAAGCATTAGATTTTTGGATATTAAAAATATTTAGTCAACAATTTCTTACTTTCTCCTAAAACACTTGGTAGATATGCCAATAATTTACAAATATTTAAGGCACATGAAAATAATTCAAATAAATTCTACATTTTGTCCCATTAATTCTTATGTCACTTTGCCATTACGTAACAACAAATGTAAACTCACTTAATACGTAAACAATGAGAGCTAATCTTCTTAGAATTTTTTATCGTATTTCGTCCTTATATGCATTTGTTCAACTAGTAATATTGCAACGGACATCATTAAAGACACGGATTTATTAATAAAAAAAATTGTATTAATAAAAAAAATAATAATATCAGCGCATCAAAGTATATGAGATTTAGGCGCTTTCTACTTATGATGAGGATCACTTATCCTTTGCAGAGAAAGCTGTATTAAAGCTCATGATTAATATGATTTTTATTACATTAGATATAATACTTGCTTGCAATTTCTTCATTATGCAATATTTAATTGTTATTTATCACTTTTTCCCTATTAATATCTATAATTCAAACTTCAACGATAATAATATTATTTAATAATGGTATTTCAAATATAATCCAAATTTTCAATCAATCAAAATTATCCTTTAAACTAATGCTTTATGACAAAGTTTTAAAATATATGATATTATATTTTTTGATCAAATAATCATAATATTCTTTTCCTTTAAATTTATGAAATTTATTTCCATTAATCTTTTGAATTACTAATGATATTCATGAGCTAAGTGATACAAACTTATCAAAATTATTGTTTAAGTAATAATATTTAATTTTTAAAGTAAATATTCAGAAACCGCGAGTTTCATGCACTGAAAAATTCTGAAAGATAGCGACACCAATATTTAATTTAAAACTATTTCACTTGCCGTGTTAAAAGAAAATAATAACTTACTACTTAATGGGAAATTTTTCGCGTAGAGCAATCAGAAGCATTTTTAAACATCCGGCTATACTGTTACATTAATTATAATATTTAAAAATCCTCAATTTCAGAATATCACGTGATTCTTATCTTATTAACAAACTATGTCGCGGTCAGATTTTGCACCCTCCGGCCAACAACATTCGATTATTTCATTTCTTATAATAGAGAAAATCATGTTTTGCATTATTATATCCATATCATCACAATTATCCCTGTCGCAACATCGTTCAAACTAAGTGATAAATATTTCTTTCAATGTTCAAAACATATTTTCAATATTCAGCGTTACGTATTAGAATATATTATAATAAAGAATGTTTTAACTATGTGTCAAACGATTGGAAATTTCTATCATTACGTGACCTCGTTTGA